CACGTCCCTTGACTTAGCGTCAGGGTACTGGCAAATAGCAATGGAAGGAAGCGACAAGGCTAAGACGGCATTTACCACGCCACTGGGCTTGTTTGAGTTTAATGTTCTGCCGATGGGCTGCAGGAATGGCCCAGCGACATTTCAGTGCGTAATGGAAGCAGTCCTGAGGTGGCTTATGTAACACACCGGCCCAGCCATTCTGCCGTGTGTTCTTTGATGATGTCCTGAATGCCAGCGAAACGCTGTCTGTCCAACTCCAGATTCTGCTGCCCATTTTCGCGCGAGTTCGGTCCGCTGGGCTGCGGTTCAATCTGAAGAAATGCTCCTGTGTCGATTGGTGCGGTCCTCAGCCAGATCGAGGATGGAACTGAGCGACCAATCGGGTATGGCAGCCGTCTACTGACGAAAGCTGAGCGCAACTACGATGCTAGCGATCGTGAAGCCCTTGCGCTGGTCTATTTTGCGGAGTATTTCAGGCACTACTTGTTGGCACGACCATTTGTTGCCAGGACGGACAATACTGCATTGACGGCACTCCGGAACCTGAAGGAACCCCGCGGACGGAAAGCACGTTGGCTTGACTGTTTATCCGAATATGAATTCCGAGTCGTCCACCGTCCAGGTCGCCAACATATTGAATGCTGATGGTCTGTCGCGTTTGCTAGCCGAACCTGAAGCACATGTGCACAGTGAGTCTCCGCCACTGGCACCAACGCCGCCGCAAGATGCTGCCCCGTCTCCTCCGCCGAGTCCGCCGCCCCTTGTCCGTGATGTTCCGCTGTCAGCTGCTGCTGAAGTGCCAGTTTCTGGAGCCACTTTCGTCAGTTCTCCTGAGCCGCCGCTTGATTGTTTTCGGCCGCAGGATATTCTGAGTGCCCAGTCCGCTGATCCTGATCTCGCTGCGGTTTTGTCTTAGTACGATGCTGCCAGTGGGAAATTTGTCCGTCCACCTGAAGAGGATATCCGTCCCTTCAGCCGTCTTCAGAAATTCCTTTGGTCTTCTGTTTCTCAGTTGCGTCTTATCGATAAGGTGTTGTATCTTGATCCCCCGTTCGCTCATGATGTTGATGTCGAACATCCTGTTCTGATTGTCCCTGTCGTTTTGCAGTCTGCTGCGCTCGCGTCTGTTCATTCTCTGCCCGGTGCTGGTCACTTTGGCATTGAGAAAACGTTACATCTGGCCCGTCAACGTTTCTTTTGGCAGGGTATGGCATCCGATGTCCAGATTTATGTGCAGAGTTGTCCGACTTGTGCTCAGTTGGCTTCTAAGAATCCAGTCCACCGTGCTCCGTGGCAGTCCATGGCTGCTGGTTTTCCGTTTGAGTTTGTCGCATTGGATATTGTTGGTCCACTTCCTGTGACTCCAACCGGTAACAGGTATGTCCTTGTCATCGTCGACTACTTCACTCGCTGGGCTGAAGCCGTTCCTTTATCTGCCATTACTGCTGAGGCTGTCGCTCTGGCATTTGTTCATGGTTGGGTGTCTCGCTTTGGTGCGCCACGTCGCCTCCACTCTGACCAAGGCTCTCAGTTCGAAGCTCGGTTCTTCTTGTCGTTGTGCACTATCCTTGGCATCCGGAAATCCCGCACAACCAGTTACCACCCCGAGGGCAATGGACTTGTTGAACGCCTCAATCGTACGTTGATCCATCACCTGAAGGCTTTTGTTGGCCCAACAGATGTCCATTGGGATATTCACCTTCCGCTTGTTCTTCTCGCCTACCGTGCTGCTGTACACAGTAGTACTGGTTTTACGCCTTCCCGTTTGTTGTATGGTGCTGAGCTTCGCCTGCCTGTTGATCTGGTCTTTCCTCCTCCTGATCCTCCCGAGCTCTCCCCATTTGCCTATGTTCAGCTCGTACGTGACCGTTTAGCTCAGGCTCATTCTCTTGCTCGTGATCAATTAGCTGCTGCTCATCGTCACCAGAAGTCAGTGTATGAGTGTATGATGCTCACTGCAGTGGTGCTTCGTTTGTCGTTGGCGATTTAGTCTGGCTGCATGATAAGGTGATTCATGCCGGCGAGTCTGCCAAGTTCCACCGTTATTGGTCCGGTGCGTTTCGTGTTGTTCGTGTGAATGGTCCTACGTCGTATACCTTGTCTATGCCTGGGTGTGAACGTACCGTCCATTTCAATCGCCTCAAGAAAGCTGTAACTGTGTCCGGTCCTGTTACATTGCCGCTGCCCGATGATGATTTGCCGCGCTGCATTCCACCGCTACAGCCGCCGTCGTCTGATCCGGTCCGTACTTCTTCTCCTGGTTCTCGTCGTTCTGGCCGTGTTCGCACTGCACCTGCTCGACTAGCTGACTATGTCCTGGACTGAGTTTATTATTTGGTTTGTTTTCTTTTGTTTGTTTCCTTGGTATTTCGTTCATTCCCGTGGACGTGAATTTTAGCTAGGGGGGCACAGTGTAATAGGTGTATGTATGCTACGACCTGAATACTCACTATTCGTATTTCCCGCTCGTTCCCCTTGGCAATGAGCCACTCACATAGAAGAGCGCATGCTCCAGTTCTGTTCTGTTCTAGTCTAGTCTTGAGTTGTCGTTGTCCTGTTCTCCTTCTGTCTACACTCTTATCGAATACTTCTAATTATCCAATCATATAAAACCCCTGTGTTCCGGTGTGAGGGGACTTCCGGGAGCAGCTAACACTGGCTTCATCAAGAACCGAGAGGAGATTGTGGCCAAAGTGAAGAAAGCGACGTCAATGGATGCCAAGAGCTCTAGGCAGTCGAGTTTCCCTGAGTTGGACGAAGCGCTCCTTGTGTTTAGTTGAAAAAAGCACCATTGTGCAGAAAATTAATTTTGCCGCGTTTTGGTGTGCATATTGTGTTGAAAATCCCAAGATCGGATATAGTGACAGATCGCAAATAAGGACTTTTTGGCAATCCATCTCGGGTGTCGTTATAACCAAGCTTCACTGTACATGTATACTTATGTATAATTATATATGTAGGACTCTGTGAGCCCCGTGAGCAGTCACATGCCCAGCAACCAGTCATGCAGTCGCAACTGCCCCCATGACCAGTCACAAAACCCAACTTGGCAACCCGTCACAGTTTCCATTGTGCCCCGAGACCAGTCACCAGAAATCGATCTGCAGGGAGTTTTACGTTCTGTTCATTACGGAGTCCTCCTTGCTATGATGGTGTACAACTGTAAAACCGGGAATTTAAACTGGGAATTTTCGGTATTTCCCAAAAATCAACGGTTCGGTAGCGCGAAAATTTCGGTAAACCAGTTTTCCAGATCCTAAAATGCATTTTGCACACCGTGTGGCTTGTTGAATTTTAGGTCGCGTTTTATTTTAGGTAAAAATTACCTGTACTGAAGTTACCGGAAATAAACTTCCACCGAAAGTTTCCGGTTTTACAACAGTAATACTTCTGCAATCGGTTGTCTACAGCAGGTCCTCTCACAGTTGTGATGGTAGAACCTAGTTGTCCACTACATGTGTGGGTTTAAAAAAATCTCATTTCAAACAATCCCCAAGCCGCCATTGCTGGTGCGCAGACCGAAGAACTGTGCCTGAGTAGTTCCCCCAGGCGATTGAGCACCCAGCTCTAATAAACATTATCCAACCAAAGTTAGTTGTTGCGCCACGAGTGCCAGGCAAAAAGAAAGGACTTCAGCCGAGAGGCGCATGATCATCGAATTGTCTAGAATCTTATTACTTGGAGTATATCATCCCTTCATCATTCTGTGAGAACATGTCCTATGGGCAGGTGAGAAGGCATCTCTGCCTGTTCATTTGGTGAAGTGCGACAAAGATAATGAAAAGTACAATTTACTTACCAAATGACTTTGCCTTGTTACTTCTTGAAGCTGTCAGTGCAACAAAAGATAATGAAAAGTACAATTTACTTGCCAAATGACTTGGTCTTGTTACTTCTTGAAGCTGCCAGTGTAACAAAGATAATGAAAAGTACAATTTACTTGCCAAATGACATGGTCTTGTTACTTCTTGAAGCTGTCAGTGCAACAAAGATAATGAAAAGTACAATTTACTTGCCAAAATGCTCTCTCGAAAAATAGATTCTGTCTTAAGCCTGGAAGAGTTTTGACCACCTTTCGTTTTGGAGAGGAGTGCACACAACCAGAGTCGAGCTACAAGTAGACTACGTGGAGATTACGAGTCGATCGAAATCTTTCTTAGTCGACTCTAAAGGAAACACAAAGTTCCCTTGTCCCTGTCCCTGTTGATCGCGTGAATGCCTGGAGTTGAGTCATATTGTTTTTTTACGTGTATGCTGTGACCATTCACAGAGGAAACCGCGCCAGTTTGTGACTGGTCATCGGGATACAGTCTGACCTCGCTTACCTGCACACATCCGTTTTCCACAACAATTTTCGGATAGGCGAGGGAATCGGATAACCGAACACCGTTGATTTAGGATGCATCACGTCTGCTGTAAATTTGTAACCAGCTATTTTCTGCCGGATGGCGAGGAATCCGGATAAAAGAGGACCGGATATAGCGGGGTCTGACTGTACAAACCGGTGTGTGGCTCTGTGACTGCCCTTTGGCGACTGTTTGAGTGCTCACTGGGACCGTGATTGATCATGGAGACGTGACTGATCACTGAGTCGTACAATTATGTTTGAGGCAGACAATCTTGCCTTGCTTTCATTCTGCATGACATTGTACACCATGCCACTGCCAGTCTCATTAACGCTTATGTTTCACTGCTCTGTGTTTTTGGTGTCCTCTCTGTTGCTGCTTGCTTGTCTCTATGGGTGTGGTGGTGGTGGTGGTCGTGATGGTGGCGGCGGTGGTAGTTTGTGCGTGCGTGTGCGTGTGTGTGCGTGTGTGTGTGTGTGCGTGTGTGTGTGTGCGTGTGTGTGTGGGGGGGGGGGGGCATGTGCATGTGTGTGTGTGTGTGTGTGTGTGTGTGTGTGTGTGTGTGTGTGTGTGTGTGTGTGCATGTCTTTTTGCATTCCCGGTTGTGTGTCTTTTGCGGATGGCCATTTGGTTTCTACCACTTGTCATCGACAGGGGTCTCTTGCCAATACACCGGACGAAGCAGTGAGTGAATATTTTAGTCATGAAATAGGAAAATATTGCTTCATGCGTAGTGAGTACTACCGTACTCATACAAGTAGTGCCCCCGGGGCACTACTTTTTCAATGTCCATCGCAGACAGGGCACTACTCAAAAGAGGCCACTATTCAAGAGAGGATACAACTTTTCAATGCTGGTATGTTTACATTATCCAGCCTAAATTTAGTGTTGGAAGGATCTCACCGGGTGCTTGTTAGCTCGCTCGCCAGAAACTCGGCTCGTTTGTGCGGCGAGCTCGTTTGCACTAACGAGCGCCGTATATGGTACGGCATGCACATTGCAGTCTGCAATGCAGTCAGTGCATCTAGTGAACTCTCCGTTCGAGTAATGCTTAGTCGTTTTGGAAGTTTTTTTCCGCAATGCAGCGAAGAACAGGGCTACTTGCTATCTGTGAAAAAACAGTCTTTTTTTACAATGGCGGCTAAACGAAGGCGCCGAAAAGAGAGAGAGAGACATCTCGACACCAAACACCCGTCCGAAGTGAAGCCAGTCAAAAGCAGCAGCAATCCCAGCGCCGGCGGTGAAATTCAAAGCAGCTGAATTAAAAAAATCATCTTTGCCACAACAGTGAAACTCGTTCACTCGCTCGATGGCTCACTCGTAAGTGGAACTGTTCGCTCGTTTGTTATAGATACGCTCGTTTCAACACTACTAAAAATAAAGAAGGCAAAGAAGAATAGAGTCTTCTACATGATGTATAGACTATCATGACTAAATAAAAACTGCAAGAAGAACTGCGATTTGATCCTGAATCCACCAGTGCAATGGGACGTATGCATTAATTTCCTGCCGTTAGGTTTTGCGGGGCAAGTCCACTACAACCGTACACACTGTCATACCAACTCTGCATAAAAGGTCATGAACTTTGTGAGGTCATACACATAAATGTACTATAACGGGTTGTACCTGCCAAGTACATGTATGGGGTAACTTGCCCCGCAAAAAGGTGACGGCAAGAGTCCATAGCCCCAAGAGTGTGCAACTCTGTACATGGGGATCCGCGCGGCGGAATTCCAACATTATGTCAAAAATGACGTACACATTCATTGCGCTTGTACTACTCCCTGATTCCAAGCACCGCGGCCGCGGATCGGAATGCAGAGTTTTGTCCTCTGTGCCTCAGTGGTTGACGTAATGTTGGAATTCCGCCGCGCAGTGGGCCTACAGCAGCCAGTCCCCAGTTGCACACTCTTGGGGGTTATGGACTCAACAAGAACATTAGAGCAAAACAAGACCAAGATTACAAGCCCTGGGAGGGGCGTTATTTAAAAGAGAGGGCCTCAGTATAATACAAACAGGCGTACAGTCGAATATCTTTGTGGCCCAAATCACTTTCCTTTCGTGAAATGTCTGCTCACGGCTGCCTACCGGTATACCCTTGCTTAACTTCAGCGCACATACTGGCATTCAAAGAGCGTCATTTAGACGTCCATGTTGCATATTGGTGTGCCCAGCTCACTATAACATAAACCTCGTTACAACATAAGAAAACACCAGGGGCGTCACAGGGTTGCTGAGAGTGGTACGACCGGGGGTCCGGGGGTGTCCCCCGGAGAAAAAATAAGGATTTTTCGGCTAACAGGCCACGTTTTAGCACTCTACAGCCGCAAAGGAGGGTTCCCCTAGCACTTATTAGACAACCCCACTCCAGCTCCAAAAACATACTTCTCATGGATTTTTGGTATTTTCTGTACATCGTAGGTAGCCAAGCAAGGCAAATGGAACCCATTCAATGATTCAGGGCCATTGCCCTCGAAAAATCGCAAAATCCAAAGTACAAGTGTGCTGCGCGTTCTAGCGCCAGCGGCTATGCAAAAACGTATGTCGTGTCCTGCAAAAGACTGCCGCGTCGCGTACACTATGTACACGTCCGGCCTGGACAGTCGCGAAGTAATTATTTTAGTTGTTTTTAGAGAGAGAAGCAGATCCTTTGTTTTTGTTCGGTGGGATTGAAAGATCTGCCAGTGGACCGGAGAGCTACAACAATGGAAGCAGAAGAAAGCGCTTGCGGAATCTTCTCTGTCTTCGTGGCAACAGGACTTTAGTTTGCGAGACTTTCGTCCTGTCGTCGCGGACGAAATTCTTGTTGCTGCTACCAGAAAACTCGGGGAACGAAACGATCGTAAATCGTTATAATATAGGTGAAGCGGGTCGTGTCGGTGAACAGCTGCAGAATATTCTGCCGCCGTGGAGCAGCAGTCCAAACACTTTTCAGCTTCGGAGAATGAAGCGCTTCCCTTTTCTGTTGACAAGCTCTGCGTTCGCGGGTGTAATGCATTTTCGAATCCGCTTGCAGTAGATCGTCAGGAGCCAGAGGTACTAGGTAGGTGTTGTTGTGGAAAGAATATAATTATTATGTTGTAGCTGACAAGTGACATACATGTAGTGTCTCTTGACGTGCTGATCGCCATTGTAACATGGTAGATCTTGGAAAATTTTAGTTCTGGACCCAGTGATCGCCGCCAGCTCAGCTGTGTTTCCGTCAAGTTTGCAGTGAATGCGTCCGTGAGGAATCCATCGTCTGGTTGTCTCTAACCGTGACTCCAACCGCCTATCGTAATGGATAGCCGCCTGGAGTCTTGGGCAATAGCTAGCTGCTAGTGCTAGGCATCAAGTCTGTATGCTCCTTGCAATGAAAGTAACAGTTGCGATGTTTTGTACAAGTCCGAAGATCCTTGAATTTTTTTATTGCTTTTTCGGATGAATTGGGTGGACCATCCTAGATCCTGGACGAAAAGTGGTACGACCATGGTCGTAGTGGTCGTACCGTGTGTGACGCCCCTGAACACCATACCCCAGAGATTACGTTATAGCGAGGTCTGACCCGTACTGGTTTTACTAGCGTGACCCCAATGAAGTTAGTCGTGCTCGTGTGGTACAAGCAGTAGCCCTCTTCTTTGCAAGTACCTTTAGTTTCGAGTGCGTTCTGTTTGGTTCGTCATTTATCATGTGAATAGTTTAGCGTTGAGTACAGTGTCGTCTTCCACAACTTCTTTAGACGATACAGTAGTAGTGTCTTCTCTTGTGTCTTCTCTTGTGAAGGGCAACATGTGAGTAAGCCTGCGAAAGCTGGCAGGAGACAGTGTTGACTCCAAAATTCTCATAAATTGGCGATCGTGAAATACTTCAACTTATGAACAAGAAGTCGATCGATTAATGTGTGTGCTCAGCACATGGATACAGCTGTGGATCCTTCTTTTGCAACACGCTGACTTCTGTCCTAAATTCGCTCACACTTTTTCAGTATTGTAGACTGCCACAGACCGCGCATGGCTGTCACCAAGAGTCCATTGCTCCCCTCCCTTCCCCCCAGAGTTATGGACTCTTGCTGCCACTCTCGAACTTCGAGCAGAAAGCTCAGGATTGACATGCACATCTGATGACCCAGCTCCAAGGAGTTGCATTGCAGGAATACTACAAAGAAGGCCCAGTCGAATCGCGACATTTTGTCAAAATTTGGTACTGATTCAATTCCAGCAAGCCCAAGATTATCAGAACTGATGAATGGAAACGAAAGTTCAGATCAGCTTCCACACGCAGTGCATGTAGCAAGTTGTCTGAATCAAGTTAGTACTGAAAGGGTACAAAAAGGGGGGGAGGGGGTGGGGGGACTGCATACTGGTAACCAGGGAGTTGTAGGACAGGCGGAAGCAGTTTTTGATTGGTCCGGCCATACCCTAGCGTTTCGTACAGTTTGTGTATGATATGGAGGGGATATACATGACCGCCTCGGAGGTAAACACGAGTTGAGGGCTAAAACATTGGTCTGGCCATGGCCTGACCAACCAGACTGGTTCCGCCAGGCCTGAGCTGTAGCACCTAGGGAGACGACATAAGACCAAAGCGCCCGAAAACAATGTGCATTTCTGCCACGGACTTGGGCATTCCACGTGAGCTGTGATCTATGCAGCTCGTGATCGCCACCACCGCCTTCACCTACCGATGCTAAACGCGTCCCAGACCAGCGGTGCCACGCGCACACATACCGGTACATGTAAGGGAGCTTTTATACTTTATAGATCTGCATTGCCACAAGTGCGATGTAATAAGCCCATTGGGCAATGACATAATTTGTACCATAAACACCCCACATGGCCACCTGGGCATGGTCATCTGGGGTGTTGAACAGTGCACTGCTGAAAAGTGCTGATCCCAGTGTACTCACATGCATTACTCATAACTTCCATATTTGGCAATGCGCAATGGGCTTATGCATATGAACTTACCGTAACGTACCGTTGATTCGCCCCCACGCCATGTCGCTTCCCAGCTGGGTTTTCGGCAGGGGGCGGGAATTAGATCAAGGCTGTCAAGTGCAGTACGATGTACAACAACTTGGAGGATCAGACTCGATGTGCTAAATTGTGCACATTTTCATCCTGGATTGGCACATGTTGTGTACAGCAGTGCAAGCGTCGGTTCAACGTCGTATTTCGTTGTATATGCCGAAATCGCTTCACAGGTAGAAAATCGACAGGGGAGGGAATTAGAGAGGGGGCGGATCAACGGTACTTTACGGTAATTTACGGTACTTTACGGTAATTTACGGTAATTTACGGTAATTTACGGTAATTTAAACAAAAAGACCGTGGAGCTACGCCTGGTTTGGCCCACGGTGGAATTGTTTTCGTTGACGTCAACGTTTCCGGAGATCATGAGCCATACCGTACGAGGTGTGCCCTAGGAGTCTGTGGCCACATGAACTTGACAGAGTTTCACGAGACTGTCCTTGTACTCTGAGTACGGTAAAGAGCTACAGAAGCGGGCGAAACAACTAAAGTTTCCATATTGAAAGTGGCAAAAAAAACCACAAAGTCGTGATGAAGGTCGCCGTCCAGCGCATACTTTGCGCGTGCTTTGTACAACATGCGCCGTGGGTTGTGAAAAAGGTGACGTCAACAAACAAAAAAATGCCACCGTGGACCAAACCAGCTGCGGAGTTGCACACTGTTCTTAATGCACTGTCTTTGCGAAATGTCACGTTCCAGTCACCCATGTCGTCTCTCCAGTCAGACACTGTGACCCGCCGCTGGTAAATCGTGATCCATGGCGCGTTGTCTCGTGCAGAGCTTCCTTGTGATTTCAGTGCCAGATCAGCTTTGCAAGCTCTGCCTTATGTCTGTCCTCTTGCTCCTGTTGTACAGATAATCACCCTGGCAATGATAGCATTTCCTTTAGAGTTATCCACAGATTTGAGTACAATGCCATGGTTCTCGACTTTCAGCACGTTGTTGGCCAGCCAGAATGCAGGGACATCCAGGTGCGGACATTGTGTTCGATTGGCAACTACTCAACGCGAGTTCAGTTGAATCAGTACTCCCCTGTGCCAGCTTTGTTCGCCTCTCGGGGTGGTCAGGGCTGTGATGGGTATGTAAGCAGTGTTGCTGTCGCCGAGATCCGCACCAACCAGCTGTGTACCAGCGTCGATAATTGTCGTTTGTTTTGCCCTGATGGACTGTTCAAGTACTCAATCTGGGTTAGTAGTGACAACGGGTTTGTACAGGAAACCTCCTTTCCCATTGCGAATAACACAAAGCCACGGGAGCTCATCAATGATCCAGAGTTAAGAGGTATGGACAAAGAACTGCCTGCATTGGGTGCTTTTAAAGATGCTCCCACAAATAAAGTCTGTTCCGGCACATAGCGTAACCACCCCATGCAATCAGCCTGTTTGCAACCTGGTGCTTGTGGTTTGATAGCTGCACTTCTCACTCTGCGGCACAACAGTGGTATTGCACTGGGAGGAGTGCTGGAAGAGGCCTCACGTTTCACAACCGTACACTTATATGTATCTATTATTGCACGATTAAGAGAGCATGTCTGAGAATACCAAAGTATGTGTGCAAGTGGATCTCTCCGATTTCGCTCAAAATTTGCAGGTAGGTTCCCTTTGGGGTGTGGATCGATTATGCAAAGCCCTTGAAAAAGTTTCTGAAGGGAACCTTGAAATTTGCATACCCCTCAAAAATGGCCGAAATATCACATTATTTATGGGTCTAGAAACGAGTCACGCCACAGCGTATACGAACAAGCTATGAACAAAACTCCATCAAGCCAACATTGCCTCACCTTAGAAGAGTTCCGGGAGCAGTACCGCTTAGCCACGCCAGCATCCCAGAAGACGAGGTCCATCACCCCCTGACGCCACAAATGATCGTCTTGAAAATAGCCAATTTACAAGCGCTGGCAAAACAGCCAGCTACGTCCTCAATTGGCCAGAACTATACACCGGCAGATAGTAGAACACCTCTTCTAGCGCTGAGGACATGTCCCCCATCTTCCTTTTGGGGTTTTCTTGAAATAAACTTTTTTGAATTTTTCCACTCGACCATGCTGAAATACGGCCAAAGTCATACCTGCGCAGGAAAGCTCGCTACTCCGCGACGTCTCCTCAGCAATTTCTACTCCGACACTACTCCCAAGGCCGCAGAACAAAGTGTAGTGTTGACTCTGACAAGGAAAAGCAGCGGTGATCACTTGTCACTCCAAACGACAAGCTTCTCCTTGCGCCACCAATAATTTTTTGTGCGACTGTTGATGCAAAAGTGACTGAAGGCCTGAGCGCAGTTTTTGAATTTTATTGCAAGATGCACGGTGAGATCGCGTGCTCTGTGACGTAGGATGACGCTTCCTGCATCACGTTACGCGGCCATCGATCGCGAATGTGCCTGGAACGCTACTCGGAACAGACCATGATGGCAGAGGCAAGATGAGCTTCATTTCCTGCTTGAACTGCTGAGAACCCCCACAAACTGCCCTAGGAGTGTTGCAATGGCAGCAAGCCGTTGGAATATGCCCCGTATACAGCATGGAGAGTTATTCGTCTTTCACACTTACCTCCTGCAATCCCGAACATAGTCCAACAGTAAAAGTCCCTTGTTTTCATGTCGATGCTCGACAAAAGCGACTAGCTCGGTCCCTTTGTGTTGACTGGCACGCGAGCAGCACTGGCTGCACGCACTTGTCGCGTGAACTGCATGAGAGATTTCTTACGTCATAAAGAATGTGATTTCATCATCATTTCACTGGTCTTCGACCTACATGGTCAGGGAAAGTCCCGGTTCGTAGGCCTACAACACGGTCAGCGTGTTCTTGAGCGCCGTAACAACACAAGTGTGATCACTTCCAGACCAACGGGCGTTCAAGGCGAGTAACAAGCGCACTTGACAAAGGTGACTCTGAAATCTCGTGAGCCGTGGGCCACGCGACTTGGCATTCTTGCGTCACAAGGCACGTGATTTCACCGTGCATCTTGCAATAAAATTCAAAAACTGCGCTCAGGCCTTCAGTCACTTTTCCAGCAACAGTCGCACAACAAATTATTGGTGGCGCTAGGAGAAGCTTGTCGTTTGGAGTGACAAGTGATCACCGCTGCTTTTCCTTGTCAGAGTCAACACTACACGTTGTTCTGCGGCCTTGGGAGTAGTGTTCGAGTAGAAATTGCTGAGGAGACGTCGCGGAGTGGCGAGCTTTCCTGCGCAGGTATGACTTTGGCCGTATTTCAGCATGGTCGAGTGGAAAAATTCAAAAAAGTTTATTTCAAGAAAACCCCAAAAGGAAGATGGGGGACATGTCCTCAGCGCTAGAAGAGGTGTTCTACTATCTGCCGGTGTATAGTTCTGGCCAATTGAGGACGTAGCTGGCTGTTTTGCCAGCGCTTGTAAATTGGCTATTTTCAAGACGATCATTTGTGGCGTCAGGGGGTGATGGACCTCGTCTTCTGGGATGCTGGCGTGGCTAAGCGGTACTGCTCCAGGAACTCTTCTAAGGTGAGGCAATGTTGGCTTGATAGAGTTTTGTTCATAGCTTGTTCGTATACGCTGTGGCGTGACTCGTTTCTAGACCCATAAATAATGTGATATTTCGGCCATTTTTGAGGGGTATGCAAATTTCAAGGTTCCCTTCAGAAACTTTTTCAAGGGCTTTGCATAATCGATCCACACCCCAAAGGGAACCTACTTGCAAATTTTGAGCGAAATCGGAGAGATCCACTTGCACACATACTTTGGTATTCTCAGACATGCTCTCTTAAAGAGGTCAATATATTTCATATATTGACCGATTATGAGGGCAATAATAGATTTATCACGACATAGCATACCTAAAACTGTTTTTGCTTTGCTATAGGAAGAAAGGAATACTATTGTAATAGTATAATAGTATGTACATATGCCCTTCAGAAACTTTTTCAAGGGCTTTGCATAATCGATCCACACCCCAAAGGGAACCTACTTGCAAATTTTGAGCGAAATCGGAGAGATCCACTTGCACACATACTTTGGTATTCTCAGACATGCTCTCTTAAAGAGGTCAATATATTTCATATATTGACCGATTATGAGGGCAATAATAGATTTATCACGACATAGCATACCTAAAACTGTTTTTGCTTTGCTATAGGAAGAAAGGAATACTATTGTAATAGTATAATAGTATGTACATATGCCGTTTACATTGGACATTACTTCTGTGTAAACCAAAGTTTTCAGTTGTCTCTTGTAGTATGTTCCCCAAGTTCTTTGACTGAGAATTTGACAGTTTGGGTTCAAATCCCAGCATTTGGCTTCAGTTTTTTTTTCTTTCAGTTCTGATTTTTTTCTAAGTTGAGGAAAAAGTTCTAAGTCCTCGGGCTAAGTGGTCAATAATAGGGAGGTTCCGGAGTACGATTTTTCGTGCCAAAATTCGTAGAGGCGCTACGGGTTTTTTATACGTCGTTTTCGAGCAGTGAAATATTCCGGAGTACGGAACTTATGTGTTTGCCGTCATTGCCCAGGTTACGATCGCAAGCACGTCACATTCCCGCGCTATGCCTTTTTATTTTGAAAATTTGCACCGAAATCAAAACTTCCCGCGGAAAATCCATGTTTCTCGTACCAAATTTGTTCGCGAAAAATCTTTCTGCACCCGATGACGCAAAATCTCCATACGAAACATGGTTCGTGTGAAAGCCAGTCCACACGGATTCTCCGTGCCGAAAAATCGTATGGAGCACGCCTGGAAAAAATCCGTAGCGCCCACACGGATTTTGGCACGGAAAATCGTACCCCGGAACCTCTCTAATAAGTGGTCAATATAAGCGGTCAATATGTATCTGTTATTAGCCGAGTATCAGGGCAATACCGGCCGATATCTGCCCGAACGGCGTCAGCCGTGAGGGCAGATATCGTAGCCGGTATTGCCCGTACTACGAGGCTAATAACACATTTATTACATGCATACTTCCCTACTTTGATGTACTCATCAACGTACACTGCCTTCACACGTGGAATTCGGGATCATGGTACTACGAAAAACTGCGAGGTACATGTATCCAACTGGTATTACATGCGCACCTACTTGTATGTGTATGTGTACAGTGTGTATGGGGTCAAATGCCGGGCAATATCGTGTATTATTGGACCGCCTGAGCGGGCTTGTATGGAGAAATAATGCCCGCTCTATCTGGTCGCTGATTGGCTGTAGACCTGGAAACGGTCACCTGACATGTAATAAATGCTGTTATTACATGTCAGGTGACCGTTTCCAGGTCTACAGCCAATCAGCGACCAGATAGAGCGGGCAATATTCCTCCATACAAGCCCGCTCAGGCGGTCCAATATTACCGTACTGGCAATATATGTTGCCGCGTAACGCGTAACGCGGGGGGGGGGGGGGGGGGGGGGTGCGGCGTAACGCGCGACCAGGCTACAGTCCATTCATAAAAAGATGGGTCCTGGCTCTGGCGAGCTCCCGTATTTGGCGATTTTTCGTGATTTCATCGTACACAGTGCAGTGCTGCGAACTTTGAAATTTGAAAAAGGGTCCAAAAAGGGTGCCTGAACTGGGGTTCGAACCGCAGAATGCACTGTTGCAGGCGGGGTCAAACGGCCTGGATTTTGATGGTTTTTCCCAATTCAGTGCTTTTGGGGCAAAACCTGGCCGAAATCCTATTCTTGCTATGGCTTGCTTTTTGGGCAAAAAAACTTCAGAAACATAATTGGAAGAGGATTCCATATGGGATTGCAGAAAAAAATTCTAAAAACACTCAACGTTTGACCCATTTATGGCCAAAAGCTAGAAGTTCATTTTTTTCTGAATGGACTGTAGTGCGACAAATTTTCGTTGAGTTCGTAACGCGCGTCCGGCGGGGTGCGGCGATCTTTTCATTGCAGTTTGCACTGCAAAAAAAAGGCTGATAATGATAGCCACGGTGACTTTGTAATATGTTGTATACTCATTAACTGTGTGAGTGACTAGTTTTTGGAGGAAGCGCTCTTCCCCTATGTCACTTTCCTTTTGATGATCTTTTTGTGAACAGATCACTCTGATAGTTAAAATATACAGTCTTCTATTTATATCGTTGTCGCCCTTTGCCGTCGGGTTTGTAACAGTTGGATAGCAACTGAATTTCTGTGCCTTCAATGTGGATGAAAAGAAAAAATGATGCGGCAAAAGCAAAAAAATGATGCGGCAAAAGCAAAAAAAGTGATGCGGCAATAGCAAAAAAAGGACAGCGGCAATATAGAAACCTGTGTAACGGCTCCTGTGCGACTTTGCATGTAACGCCCTGCGTGCGGCAAACATGTGCCAA